ACACAGTCCTGCCGGCCCTGGGGAAGGGTGGGTCTGATGAAACTGTGGGTGGAGGTGGTCTCGTGGGAGTTGGTAGGATCTCCCCGGCTTTAGCCGCCCTGTCCTTGCCCACTGCCCAGAGGATCTGGTTGGCTGGGAGACAGGGATGGGTAGTGCTGGAGGGATGTTGGCCCCCCTCTGCTCAGACCTCCTGCCCTTTCCTTCAGAGGTGCTTCCAGACCACCAATGGCTACCTGTCCAACTCCAGGTCCTGCTCCAGCAACTACAACGTGGCAGCCCTGGCCACCTCATCCCTTGTGGGTAGGTTCTGGCTGCCCCTCTCCCGCCCGTGGAGACCGCACGGTCCCACCCTAGACACTGGCAGTGGGAAGGACACAGCTAAGTTGCAGGTGGGAGGATGGCAACCTTGTTGGATTCTCCGTTTTCTAAATGCCAGACTCCGTGCTGGGTTCTGCGGGTCACAGGGGGACCGGTGGCTCAGGGTTCTGCTTTGCTGCAGGTCAGCATGGTCTGGTTAAACTGCTGGGATCTCAAGAAGCTCTGAGGGGGTTGGCCAGAGTTTTTCAGAGGTCTGCCTAGGGTGCTCTCCCTGCCTCTCTGCCAGTCACATCACCTTAGGTCAGGTTCCCTGGAAGCAGAGCCTGGCATGGGCATGACTACAGGTGATTCCCTGGAGACTGGCCTTCAAGAGAAGCCAGCAGGCATTGGGGGACGCAGAGGGGGTGGGGAAGGGGCTCAGCAGGAGTCTAGCCCTGCCCACGGGGTCTCACCGGGAGCTTGGGAGCATGCATGACACCCCAGAATTGACAGTATGCCAAGGGGAGGGGTCGGACTTTATATTCCCCCATAGTGACTCACTGACTGCCCCGGGGAAGACTCTGCAACCTCCAGAGGAGGCTCCCGGGACCTCAGGGCAGTTCTCCAGATAAGGGTGTGAGCTCACAGCAGCAGCACCTGAAGCAGCTGGCCATGGGCTCCCAGGCTAGTAGAGGTGGTTTTGGTGGCTACCACGGCATCAGGTGGCCCGGCACTAAATCCCACCCAGCTCCCCTGGAACCCCTGGGGCCCTCCTTCCCCGATTGTCATGTGCCTTTCCTCCAGCCAAGGACCTTCCTCCACCTCACCTGCCCTTCAAGGGCCACTTGAACCCCAACCGCCTCCAAAACACCCTCTCCAACTGCCAACACTCCCCAACTTGGTGGGAGGGAGAGTCTCCTCTTTTCTCCACACCCCCGTCTTTCCCGTTTTCCCCGCTGTAATTACCTTCGTGCATACTTCTGCCTCCTTAAATATCGCCATTCCTCGCACCATGGCTTCGGGGACCTGGGTGACTCCCAGATCTGTTCTCAGCCTTGGTTAATGGCCGTGCCCTCTTCATCTTCTACATCCAGCAGCTCTGCAGCCCTGACCCCTCCTCTCCGTCTGCCCAGCCCTCGCCTCGTTTCTTGTCGGGTCCCTGCGGTAGCCCCTAATCCTCCAACTAGAGTACTTTCTAAACAGGAGTGCCAACTGGTCAGTCATGCTCATTACCCTGCTGTGGCTCCCCACTGCATGAGAAGAACATCTGAGCCCCTCACCTGGTTCTCTCCAAACCTGTCCTGGTCCTGATCAGCTCCCAACCTCTCCTGCCGCCCAGTCCAAGTGTGGACCCCATGTCTCACCCAGCTAGTCCCAGACCACGCCAGACTCTTCCATGCCTTCATCCTCTTCTCATCTCTGAAAAAGCCTCCCATCTTGCCTCTGTCTGTCTATGCCCAACCCAACTTCAAATTCCAATCCCAGGTCTCCTCTTCCAGGAAGCCTTCTCTGCCTGCTCCACCCACCCAGGTCTCACCTTCAGCAGAGCTGGCACGGCCACAGGGACTTTCTTTCAGAATGTGTTTAAAGGATCCTGGAGAAAGCTGGGGGATCATGAGTGGTCCTTGGGTGGATCTCCTTGGGCGGAAGGGTCTGAACTTGGTCAGAAAGGGAGTGAGGGGTGTGTGGTTGAGGAAGAAGCACCAGTGGGCAGGAACATGGACTGGGAGTTGGATGCTGGGGGGAAATGCACACACCGGTGGGTGGGGCATGCAGGGGAGGTCTCAGGGCAGGAGTGGGCAGGAGGCGCTGGAGGGCGCAAGGAGTTAGATGGGTACAGGTCCCTGGGGAGGCGTTGGGCATTGATGGAGATTGTGGTGCACTGAAAGAATGTCGGGTACAGGCCCCTGGGTGGGCTGAGGCACGGGGGCCAGTCCCTGAGCTGGGGCTTGTGTCAGGACAGTCACCCAGATGCCCTCCGTGCCCCCAGGGGTGGTACAGAGCATCAAGGACCACATCACAAAGCCCACGGCCATGGCCCGAGGCCGCGTGGCCCACCTCATCGAGTGGAAGGGCTGGAGTGCCCATCGGGCAGGCTGGGAGCTGTCCCCAGCCGAGGACGAGCATTACTGCTGCCTCCCGGATGAGCTGCGTGAGGCCCGCTTTGCTGCAGGTCAGCATGGAGAGGGACTGGCCGGGGCGCTGTGGGGGTGAAGCTGGGCCCTTGGGGGGCCCAGACCACTGCATGGGAATTGTCTGAGCAGGAAAAAATAATGGCATGGGGGGGATTCAGTGAGCACTTCCGACCACTGGGGTGTGGATGGGCGGCCCAGAGAGGCAGCCACCCTCTAGCCTGTCCTGCAGCAGCTCCGGTGGGCACTGAGGTTGTCCCCACCTGTGCCCCCGAGCCAGATCTCGCTGTCCCCTCAGGGGTTGCCGAGCAGTTTGCCATCACGGAGGCCACACTGAGCGCTTGGTCCTCGCTGGACGACGAGGAGCTGCACCCCAAGGACAGCCCCCAGGACATCAGCCAGCTCCAGGGTACAGCCCAGGGGGTCCAGGGTGGGTGAGCAGAGTGGAGCTGAGCCTGCATGCCTGCCCACCAGCAAATGCAGTGTGACCTCAGCCGAGCCCCTTCGTTTTCTCAGCCTAAGTTTTTGCATCTGCAAAATGGGGCAGTGATCCTTGGCCTGCCCATTGCCCGGCAGTGTCAGGAGCGTGATGGAGAGAATGAGCACAGCAGAGGCAGGAACTGGGCGCTTGCCACACTGAGGCTGGGCACGAGGCATCTCACAGAATCCTCATAGCAGTCCTAGGGAGTGGGTTCTGTTGTCCCCACTTTTCTAATTAATGAGGAAACTGAGGCACTCAGGTTCAGAAACTTACTCCAAATGACACAGCTAGAAGCGTCAGAGACAGATCTGAAATTTAACAACGGGTACAAGCAACCGCCTTTTTAGAAGCCCAAGTTACTACTGAGGGCTTCCAGAAGCCTTGGCCCTGGGGGAAACCTGCACGTAATCCTCTCTGACAGATGGAGAGGGATGGGGAGGGGACAGAGGTTCACGGGGAGCCCTGTTGCCCCAGTTCTCAGAGAGCACAGGCTGGCTCCAAGCCCACTCTTAACTCCTCCGTTTACTGCCTTGAGGAGGAACCTGGAGCTCAGAGAGTTTTGGTGACTTGACAAAGGTCACACGCTCCGCAGTTACACAGTGAGATTTGGAGGCAGGTCTTCTGCCCTTGCCCTCCTTCCCACACCCAGAGAGGACGAGGATCTGGATCTGGGACGCCATTCCTCCCTCACCCGGTTGCTTTTCCAGACCTGGAGAGCGGCTACCTTCAGGACAGCCTTCCCAGCGGCCCCTGGCAGGACGACAGCATTCAGGCCTTCTCCTCACCCAGCCTCTCCTCTGACAGCTGTCCCTCACCTGAGGCACCCCCCAGCACTGCTGCTGTCCTGCAGCCTCCAAGCCCAGAGCTGCAGCATCGGCGGCAGCTGCCTGGGACCCAAAGACCCAAGGGTGGGACCCACCTGCCAGGCTCCCTCCCCTCTGTGGACAGCGGCTCCCTCTGGGAGGAGGAGGACGAGGTGCTCTGTAACTGAGGAGGGGCTGTGCTCACACCACCATCTCACCTCGTGGGCAGCCCAGGCATATCTGGACCCCGGGGTCCAGGGCAGGGCATCTCTTGTCCCCTCGGGTAGGCACAGGGTCGGTGCAGCAGGGATGGGGCCAGCGCTCATGGTAGCCTCTCTGTGCCTCGGTGGACCTGCCGCTGGCAGTAGGAGCATAACCCCCTCCCCCTTCATTATGTCACTCAGGTGGGCACCTTCCCCTGCAGGGTGTCTGCCCTCAGGGAACTCAAGGACTCTCAGAAACACCAGGGCAGACCGGCCTGGAGGAGCCACAGCCAGGCCCCAGAGGGACAGCCAGGGAGAGAACTGGGACCCACTTAGAGCAGGGTCTGGGAACCCTGCCTGTACCTGGGGCTCAGGCCCTCCCCACTCCCTCTGTGTATCTGCCCCCCAGCAAAGGTGGGGTGACCACTTCTGGTAGCTAAGCACCCGCTCCCCAGCTCTCCTCACCAGGACATCTGTCTCTGTGGAGTGTGTCTGTCTGTCCCTCCCTCTCTGAACCTGCGTCCTCGGTGCTCCCTGCTCCTTGCCCCAGGGAGCCCACTCCCCCTCCTTGCAGCTCCCTCCCATCTCACTCAAGGTTCTCTGAAGACATTAAAGTGGTGGATTCACCTTGGATGACCTTGGCCTGGTCTCTGCTGGGAAAGATGTGACCTTGGGCCCCTGGGTGGAGACCAGAGGGAGTCAGGGAGGCCCCATAACCCCAACACACACAGACTGCTGCTACCCAGCCTGAGAGGACCCATGGACGATGCCCAAGGCTCTATGGACTCCCCAAGAAGCCACACTTGGGGACCCGGCTTTATGAGCTGTGGCTCAGCCGAGCAGGAGACCAGGGCTTCAGTGACACAGGGTCCTGCTTATCCATGAGGACAAGCATCACAGACCTGGCGGGAGCCCCTCTTTCCCTGGCATCTCCCTGGCAAGAAGTGGAGCATGAGGAGGAGCCCAGGGACCCGAGCCTGCAGTGCCCATGTGGCCATGGGAAACTCATTCTGGACCAGTGCAGGTGGGGAGGTCATGTCCCAGGCCAGCACCCTTGCAGCTGAGACGAGGGATGGACAGCAGCTCTGGGAACCAGCTTTATTTTTCTCAGGAGCCTCTCACTGGGAATCAGACAACCCCAGAGAGCATCTGTGCCTGCCCTTGGTGACAGCATACCCCAACCTTGTCATTCATTAATGTGATGGTCAGTCACTGAGCACCTGCCAGATACTGGTCTTCTGGCATCTCACGCTCTGAGCTCTGTCCAAGGTGGGACTTGGCTTTCAATCAGGAGCCATCGTTTCTCCCAGAATGAGCCATTCTCTTCTGGGCTGGGTTACAGCTGCCTCTTATGCCAAGGAATGGAGTTGGGCTGGAGGGAGGGATGGGTGGTGATGGGGGAAGAGAGGCGGGGTCTCAGCCCAACCTCAGCACCAGGGCAGCTGGGGTGCCCTGCTTCATCTTGCTGGGTCGGCTCACTGTGGGGCTGGTGGATTTGTCAGGTTAGAAATTGCTTTCTTCATCTAGAACAGAGAAAGGGGGTGGGGGTTGAGAGAATGTAGAGGAGGTTGAGAGGGGGGCTCCAGCATTTTTAGTTCCCCTAAGGGTTGTTTCTGGGCTGAATAGCAGAGCCCGTGCCACCCCATTGCACAGATGGGATCACCAAGGCCCAGAGAGGGGCAGGCTGGCCACTGGCCAGAAAACAAGGGAGGGAGAGCCAGGCCCAGTGGCCAACCTAGGCCAGGAAGAGGGGCTCATCAGTATCCTCTGAACCCCCCAGGTTTGTATGGGAGCATGCTGGTGTCCCCCCACCTCCCCAGCCTTCTCAGCATGGGTCCCCTACTTTGCTCTGCCCTGGAGACCCTGGTACCTCTACCCAGGACACGCAGCCCACAGCTCTGCCCCGCGATGTCACAAAGAGGGACTGAAGGTTCAACAGCTCAAAGAGGTTGTGTGCCTGGAGGAGGGATTGTTAGGAAATACTGGAGGGTAGAAGGCGTTCAGCCCACCTTCTGGCCACCTTCAGGCCCACGCCTCTGAGCCAGGAAGAGGGGCCGGGCCTGATGTGGGTGGGAGACCAGAGACCCAGGTCTGCAATGTCCAGTGTGGCCACTGGGGGATGCCAGAGTCCATGCAAGAGGCTGGGTGGGCAGCAGGTGGACAGGACCCAATATTCAGCACCCTCCAGCAGCACAGAGGGGGCAGCGCCATCTCCAGGTCCCCTGCCGGCTTCTGCCCCTCCCCCGCCCATGTGTCAGGCTCTGTCCCGAGTGGCTACATCATTTGTCCAAGATCAGACAGAGAAAATGTGCTGGACCTGAAACTGAAATGCACGTGTGCCTTGATGCAACCCCATTGCCAAGCCCCCCACTTCTCTTTTCTCTTCTCTCTGCATCATCCCCACAATCCTGGCAGTGAGGGGCGACAGCGCGGTAGCTGCCCTGTCCACCGTGCTGGTGAGGACACAGACCCAGGAGGGGCAGGGGGCAACATAAGGCAGGCAGGTGGGCGGGGGTGGGAGGGGAGGCTGGAGCCTGAGCTCCTTATCAGCTCTTCCCCCACACAGGGGCCTCGTGTGCCTGCACTCCCTAACTTTCCTGTTACCTCATGCAGGGAGGTCTCTGGGGACAGCTTCAGGGTCACTGGTTCTGTGGGGCAGCCCCCAGCCAAGATGTCCTGGAGACACTGCCAGGGGTGGGGAAGGGTCATGGGTGTACAGCCAGCACCTCCAGGCTGCCTCTCTCAGACCACCTCTCCCTCAGATCAGCGGGCCCCTCCCCCACTAGCCCTGCTGGCTGATCCCCGCCCCATCCCCACGGCCCTCAGGAGTACCCACCTGATGTCCCGGAGCCCAGGAAAGAGGCTCAGCCTGGAGGGCCTGCACCAGCGGGGGCCTTCGCACGATGCCCACCAGGATCTGGGACTCTGGCAGGTGGAGAGGGAGAGGGAGGGAGGCGTGTTACAAAGAACAGGGACTCACATTGACTTAGCACCTATTTAGCCCAGAACTGTGCTGGGTGTTGCTGTGGGGCTACTGTAACTATTGTCACCCTTTATAAAGGACAAGAAACAGGCTCAGCTGCACAGAGAGGCTCATTGTCTTGCCCAAGGACATTGAGCTTCTGAAGTAGAGGTGTGGTAGCTGAGGGTGGCCAGCAGGGACCCTGGCCACCACAGAGATCCCCCACGTTGCAGGTCGTCAAGATTGGAGCAAGCTGGGGGTGCTGGCACCATGACGTCTGTGTGTCAGGGCTGGGCTCTCTCCTTCATTTCCCAAGAGGTTTCACATCTGGCTCAGCCCAGTGAAAGTGTGAGCCCAGGAGGCCACCATGTTCTGAGGCCCTACTGTGTGCTGGGGGCCTTGGCAAGCTTCACTCTGGCTTTAAAATGAACAATGAGGCTATTTCTTGGGTGAGCAGTGGGACCCCACAGCCTGGGCCTGTGTTGGTTGAAGCACTTTGCTGTGGCTCTAAGGGTCAAAGAAGACTTTGTCTTAGAGGCTCATTCTTCCTTTGCTCCAGGAGGTGAAGCCTCTTGGTGGGGTCATCCCAACGCAAACATTTTCAGATGAGATATTTGTCATGTTCCACGGTGTAATGCTAACAGTCTTCCGATTAGTGGGGAAAAAAGGGCCCAGCATTTGGGGTGAGAACGTCTGGCCCTATACTCTCTTGAGCCCTACTTTCCAGATGATGAAAATGCAGTATGTAGAGCTTCAGTGGAATATTCACAATTCCTTAGCTCATAAGTGGATCTATCCTTCTGAGGGTGGGCATAAGGGTGACCCATATGGTTGTACAGGTTGCTCACTGCACAAGGTGCCTACCCAAAGTGCAAGTGGAGACCAAAATCCAGCTGTGCTGTGCTTGCCAGGTGTGCACCTTGTCTCATTTGCACAGGGAGACATGGGGCTGACAGCGGCCTTGAGTGGGCAGGGCTACCCCCTAAACCCCCCTTGTCTTCCGGATGCAGATACTGGACTTGTCCCCACAGGAAAGGATGCTCTAGTAAAGGTTTCCCCAAGCACTGGGTTCCACACCTTTTAACAAGGGCCACCATGTTTTTGTCTTTAAGGAGATGTTTTCCTCATGGCAACAGGGATCTGGGGGAGGGGCCTCATCTGGGAAACGCTTGAAGGGAGGCCTGAAGGGAAGCTTCTGAAAGACCCTGGTGGTGTCTGCAACCTCTTAACCCAGCAGCTGCCCAGGGGCTGCCCTACAAGCACCCGGCCGTCTGTCTTTAGACAAGTCAACCACCCCAAGGGAGGAAGGCCGTGATCTCCATTTTACTAATGAGGAAACTGAGGCTCAGGCAAAGTGACTTGCCCAAGGTCACACGGTTGCTTGCTAAGCCACAGAGCCTGGATGCAGATCCTGTCTGCCTGACGGGTCCAAGCAGGAGGCAGAGGGCATCACATACACACACCCCCACCCCCCGCTGCCGACTTCCTCCCCTCTTCTGGCTGGCACCTGTGCTCTCCACCAGGGGATACTCGGCTATGTCTGTGGAGGTCACGACCTTGACCACCTCCTCCAGCGGCATGTCCTTGGCCAGCATGGTGATGCTGTGGTTCATGAAGTGTTCCACCCTCACATGGTGGGAGCTGCGGGCAGAGGGGCTCCCATCAGGTTCCGGAGTCAGAGATGTCAGACCCAGGCCAGGCAGGGGCATCTTGGGGGAGCTTTGCTGGAACCAGGGACTCACGGCTCTGGAGTGTGGGCAGAGCCGAAGAGGTTCCTGGAATGAGGGACGCCTAGAACCCACAGTGGGAGGAAAACTTGGAGACCACGTCCCTGATGGCCCAGTTCCGAATCCCCATCCCCCACGCCTCCATGTCCTCCAGTCAGTTCCACTCTGGCCTTTTTTACCCAGCAGGCTTCTCTGGAGAATTTCATTTGAATAAAAAGTATCTGTGGCTGGGCATGTACTGGCTCACGCCTGTAATCCCAGCACTTTGGGAGGCCAAAGCAGGTGGATTCACTTGCGGCCAGGAGTTCGAGACCAGCCTGGCCAATACAGTGAAACCTTGTCTCTACTAAAAATATAAAAACAATCTGAGCATGGAGACACGTGCCTCGTCTGAGCTACCTGGGAGGCTGAGGAAGGAGAATTGCTTGAATCTGGGAGGTGGAGGTTGCAGTGACTGATTGTGACACTGCATTTCAGCCTGTGTGACACAGCAAGAGAGACTCTAGCTCAAAGAAAAAAAAAAAAAAGGTATATCCTTCCTCCAGGGTAAGAACTTGAAGGTTTGGAAACCACTGGGGCGACAGCCCCATTTTACAGAAAAACAGGTTCACAGCAAGGCAGCAGCTTGCTCATGTTTGGGATGGGGCCTCGGACCCAGCGACTCTCACAGCCTCTTTGATCTGCTTCTCTGGCGCCAGAATCTGCTCTGGTCCGATACGTCTCAGAGTGAGGACCTCAAAGCCCATTTCCGTTCTTGTTCCACCTCCTGCTCCTAAACTCCCAGTGAAGGCAGCAGAAGTGGGGAGAAGGGGGGACCCCCAGCTCTGGTGCTGGAGCAGGACACGGCCCCTCTCCGAGCCCCGGCTTCCTCACCCTGCACATGGGGCAGTGTTCATCCTCCTGCTGTGAGGACCGGCTGACCGCTAGACAGACACTGAGGCCTGAAGGCCGAGGCCTTGCCCAAGGTCACCCGGGGCACTGGGGAAGTGGAGACCGGAGCACAGCTGGTGTCACCCCTCCCAGCCCCCATGTCCAAGGTCAGCTGCGGTGGCCTTTCTTTTTTTTTTTTTGAGACAGTGTTTCCCTCTTGTTGCCCAGGCTGGAGTGCAATGGTGTGAGCTTGGCTCACTACAACCTCCACCTCCAGGGTTCAAGCGATTCTCCTGCCTGAGCCTCCCAAGTAGCTGGGACTACAAGTGCATACCACCACACCCAGCTAATTTTTGTATTTTTAGTAGAGACAAGCTTTTACCATGTTGGCCAGGATGGCCTTGATCTCTTGACCTCATAAGCTGCCCGCCTCGGCCTCCCAAAGGGCTGGGATTACAGGCGTGAGCCAGCGCGCCCAGCCTGCGGTGGTGTTTTTTTTTAGAGGTGCCCTCCATCCCCGACCCTGCCCAGACACTGTGACCCTTTCAGCCAGCCTGAGGTGGGTGCCGCTCACCCGATCCTGCGGCCCAGAATCCGTGGCAGGTATGGCAGCTTCTTGACGATGATGGTGCCATCGTAGAAAGAGGGCTGGCAGCTCTGTGCAATGGCATTGGCTGCCAGCACTGCCATCAGCACGGGCAACGCATGCACTATCTGACCGGTCATCTCAAAGGCCAGCAGCGCCGTGGAGATGGTGTGGGTCACAGCCCCTGAGAAGGCTGCAGCCCCTGTGGGGGCAGAGTCAGGCAGAGCAGCTCAGGCCAGGGGCCAGCCTCATGTGAGGGCAAGGCTGGCACAGCTGCAGCCAGGGTCCAGGCAACAGGCTGGGCACTGTGGGAAGTGCCCCAAGGCCTGAGCTTGATGAGAAAAGAGGAATAAGGGAGGCCACGGGGGATGGAGGACAGGACAGGAGCCCTGAGGGAGAGATGGGACCTGGGGAATGGTGGGGCTCAGGAGGGACAGGCCCCCATGAGGGATGGGGGACTCACTGGGGGCTGGGGGGCTGCTCCGTGCCCTATGGAACCACTGATTGGTTCTCCAGGTCCAGCCCAGCCCCACGATGTTGCCCACCCTGACACACTCACCTGCCAGGGCATACCCACCAGGCATGATGGGATTGGTGACCCCTCCAGCCACGATGCCCTCAGGGAAAACGAAAGAAACAGTCTCCCCAAAGAGGCGCCCGATGGCAGCTCCTGGCCACAGACTTAGGGTGAGGGGGAGCCAGGCTGACCCAGCCCCCACAGCTCCCCATCCCTGAGGACCATCCTCAGTACCACCCCAGAAGAGGGTGAACCAGGAGCCATGGCCCTGCCCCAAGAACCCCGAAACTCTCAGAACCTCAGGGCCCCAGACTTACCGAAGACGAAGACGGGCATGAAGTACCCAGCAGGCATGGGGATGGTGGTGGCCAGAATCAGCATCCAGAACTGTGAGAGGGGGAGCCCAGGGCAGAGGCTAGAGGCTGCTGGGCGAGGTGTGGATAAGGGAGGACAGGACAGGGGACAGGGGCCCATCCTAGACAGAAAGAGGGTGCCTGGCCATGTGCCTATTGTCAGAGTCTGGCATTAGAGGAGGGTCCTCACCCTAAGAAATGCCCTCTGTGTGCCTGGCACTGTGCCAGGTACGTTCCTTTTTCCCTCCTCAGCCTTCCCAGTAACCACCCCATTTTAAAGATGGGAAGACTGAGGCCCAGAGAGCTGAAGCCACTTGCCCTGGACCATGTGGGGAGCAGGGAGCACATCATGAAGTATGGGTGGGAGGCCTGGGCTCCATGCCACCAACTGCGGGAAGGCACCCTCCTCCCACCAAAGCTGGTCCTGTCTCCGTGTACACCTGGGGTCTGGGGGGCCCACCTTCATAACCAGGAAGAAGGCAAGGGTCCCAAAGATGGTGAACCTCGGGTGGTACCATTCCCACCACAGGTGCTGGGGGTCGAGCTCCTCAGGCCAGGGTGGGCTGGAGTTCCGGGTCATCAGCACCCAGGAGTGGTTGTCGAACAGGGAGTCCAGATGCTGCTGCATGGACAGCTGGGGCGGGGCAGGTGGGAAATGGACGTGAGGGGCCTGAGTGGCAGACCCCAGCCACCGGGCACAACCTGACCCCGCCTGGAATCCTCCTCTGCCACTACCCAGCGGGGGACCTTGGGCAGAGCTCTGAAAGCCATCCCCACCCCCCCACCCAGCTACGGTCTCCTTATCTGTAAAACGATGCCCAGGCGTTGCCCTTGTGGGGTACTGAGGGGATTACGTGAGATACATGCAAAGGGGAAAACAAATGGGGGTCCCCACTCTTGCCACTCCAGCTCAGGGCCCCTTACCCGAGAAGCTAGGAAGCGGCCCACGCCAGGCGGGTAAGTGATGGAGGCGAGAACCAAGGCGGCCAGGGCGGAGTACACAGGCTTGCTGTGGGGCGTGGGTGAGCTCCAGGGCTGGCCTTCCCTTTCCCCCATCTGGAGGAGAGGGAAGCAGGGCCTCGCCCAGGCAGGACAGCAGGGCAAGGACCAGGGAGGAAGAAGAGTGGGAACAGAGGACATGGACTGGGCCTGCTCCATGAGACAGGACCTGTGGGTCAGCCCCACACTCCTGGGTATTTTTAGGGATAGAGGCTGATAGGGGAATTGTGGCACAGGCAGGCTGGGGGGAGGATAGAGTGGGGCCAGGACAGGGCGGGGCTCATGCACCTGGGGCAGGAGGGCTCAGTCAACATAAGGTTGGGGGTACACAGCGGGTGGGGCTCACTGAGAGGCCCCCAGCCCCTAGTCCGGAGCCTACCTAGTGGTCATGAGCTTGGAGCTGAACCGATTGTTCTTGATGAAACCAAAGAAGACTCGCTGGCAGAAAAGGTAAGCGCAGCTCACAATGCCACAGATACCCCTGGGGAGCACGGAGCCGTGAGTCCAGAGCCCAACCCCAAAACCAGAGGTCCGGTCCAGACCTGGGGGATGCTATGTTGGACTCTCAGGAGCCCAAGGTCCCACTCACCCCAGCACCACAAAAAAGAAGATCTCTGGCAGGTCGAAGGGGACGTCCACCCGGAAACTGGTCTTGAAGAGGGAGGTGATGGTCTCTGGGGAAGGAGGGCAGTGGGGAGCCTAGATGGTGCTCCCACCCACCCAAACCCAAGTCCCAGGGTAACAAGCCAGGGTGGAGGGGTGCCAGGTCCTGACCCTGAATCTGTTTCCTGGCATTCGAGGCCCCCACAATCAGGCTCCTGCCTCCCTGTCCAGCCTCGCCCCCTTCTACCCTCAGGGCCCCTGCCCTTCATGCTCCACACGGGTCAGCCCTTCCATCCTCCCAGAAGGAGGTGGAAACAGGGAAGAGGGAAACGGGGGGGGGCAGGGTGGAGAGAAGGGAAGAGCAAGGAGTGTATGCAGGGGAGGAAGGGGGGACCCTTGCCCTAGCCTCCAGGCAGGGCCAGAGTCAGGCAGCCCGGGGGGCTCACCCTGCTCGCTGTTGAAGACCGCCAGGAGTCGGAACATGAAGGCCCCGCAGGTGGCTGCAAAGAAGCCCCTCCAGTAATCCCAGACAGAGAAGTGGGAAGACATGACCTCGATGCTAAACAGGACGCCTGGGGGCGACACTGATCTCAGGTGGGCCCCCCACCCCACCCCCACCCACCTGCGGCTATAGAGCCCCCTCCCCATGTCACCTCCTCCCTGACCCATCTGTCCTGCTCCCCTACAGCCTGGACAGGAACAGACAAGAGGGGAGGGCAGGGCATGCGCCCTGGGTGGGGAGGACCTCGCTGCCCAGGGACCCATCCAGCCTGGGATGCAGATGTGCGACCTCTGACTATCGGGCGGGGACGGTTGCGATCCCCATTTTACAGAGGAGGAAGCTGGGCTCAGAGAGGCCAACGGGCCAGGATCACACAACAGGCGGTGGATTTCAAACCCGTCTGTGTAATGTTATCTTGAAGCCTCTCAGCACCGACAACCACGTCCCCTCGCAGTGGGTGGCTGTCCCCAAGCAGAGCTGAAGTAAGAACTAGAATGAGCCCCGTCCCCTCCTCCAGGCTCTCTGCGGGACTGAGGGAGCCCAGGGTGTGAGAGGAGGAGCATGAGGGACCCAGGGGGCGGGGCACGAGGGGTCTCACCGCTGAAGGGAGCTGCGAAGACTGTGGCCACACCCACTGCCGCCGCTGCCGCCAGCATTTCGGTTTGCTTGCTCTTGTTCTAGGGGGATCCGAGTCCAGGGCTCAGCGTCAGCCCCTCCCTCCCCACTCCCACTCCTCCAAGGAAGCTCCCCAGCCCCTAACCTCAGGCTCCCCGATGGTCGCTGTGCGCACACGGCCCAGATAGGCAGCCATCATCACAGACAGGTGCACGAAGGGACCCTGCAGAGGGAGGGGTGAGCCCAGGGCCCAGGTGAGGGCAGCAGAAGAGCCTCACCCAGAGGCCACCGCAGGGCTTCCCCATCACGCCCTCTCCTCCATCTCCCCAACCCCCAGGGCTGTCCTCAGGTGGCTTTTGTCACACTCTGGGGACCTGGCCTGCCTCTTCCCCCAAGACTGAGCTCCCTGAAGGCAGGGCCCAGTCCAAGTCCCTCTGACCCAGCTTTGGTGGTGATGGGGGAGAGGATAGTTTCGGGGGGGTGGGCGGGGTGGCCGGTGTGCCCTCATGCCTGCCCATACCACTTTGCCCAGGAAGACAGTGCTGCCACAGGCCAGGGTGCAGGAGAGGCCCACCACCTTGGCCCCAAAGTTCTTAATATCCAGGTAGTCCTCCAAGATCACACCTGACAAGATGGTCTTCACCTCCGGGATTCCAGAACCTTGGCAGGGGTGAGCAGAGCCAGAAGGAAGACCATCTCTAGATTAAAATTCTCAACACTCTACATTACAGTCTTGCCAGATCAGCAGAGCCCTCTCAAGTTAGGATTATTTTTCTTTGGGGACAGGGTCTGGCTCTGTTGGCCACGCTGGAGTACAGTGGCAAGATCATAGCTCACAGCAGCCTCAGATACCAGGGCTCAAGTTATCCTCCCAAGTCAGCCCCCTGAATAGCTGGGACTACAGGCAAGGACCACTTCCCCCGGCTTATTTTTTCAAGAGAAGGAGTCTGGCTATGTTGGCTGGGCTGCTCTAGAACTTCTGACCTCAAGCGATCTGTCCCCTTATGGCTCCCAAAGTGCTGGGATTACAGGCATGAGCCAGTGTGCCCAGCTGGGTTAGGATTCCTTTGTTTCTTTCGGGCTGGAGTGCAGTGGTGAAACACGGCTCACTGCAGGACCAAATTCCTGGCTCAAGCAATTCTCACGCCTCAGCTTCCTGAGTAGCTCCGACCACGGGCACATGCAATCATGCCCAGCTGATTTTTTCTATTTGTTTTAGAGACAGGGTCTCCCTGTGTTGCCCAGGCTGGTCTCAAACTCTAGGCACCAGTGATCCTCCTGCCTCAACCTTCTGAAGTTCTGGGATTACAGACATGAGTCACTGCACCTGGCCCAGGATAGGATCCTTGAACTCATTTTACAGATTTGGACACTGAGCGTCACAGAGGGAATGTGAGTTGTTCATGTTCCTCCCCACCAGGCCTGGCAGATGGCTGTGGCAGAATGGGGGAAGCCTGGATGAAACCTCAGGCCACTACTGAGTGAGCCTGGAGCTCCCCTCTGCTGGCCTGCTGCTGGAGACAGGGCTGAGCGCCCTGGGGGAGCTGTGCCTCCTCCACGGGCCCCTTCCTGGCACCAGCACAGGCCCCACAGGGGAATCTCTTTCCAAGGAGCCCTTGGAAAGTGGGTAGGGCCAGCAGTGACCCAAGAGTCAAGATCTGGCCTTCTTGCTGTGTGCTTTTGGGCAAGCCACACAACCCTTTCTTCTGGGCCTTCGTCTGTAAAAGGAGGCTGCCGCTTCCCGACTCCCCCCATCAGAAGTCCCCTGGGATCTGAGAAGGTTTTGGCCAGTGGGGACTGGCATGGTGACCGTGTACTCACCTCCAGAGGAGGGCGTGATGCTCTGGGAGAAGCCCGAGGAGAAAGAGACGAGGGCCACAGGGTACACGGTCCAGGAGAGATACCGGAGCAGGTGACCATCCCCAATCTCCCGGTACAGCCACTGGTGTGCTGGGGACAGCCGGGTATCAGGGGACCACCCACAGTCTCTGCAGCCCTCGGGACCAACACTGTGGTGCCCACTGACTGACCAGGAAATGGAGGCACAAAGAGGGGAGGACCAGGACACCCAGTGAGGGGCAGACCCCCGAGAGGAGGCCGGAGCGCGACCCTGGGTCCATATCCCAGGTTTACCACTTTCTAGCTCAGTGAGCTTGGGCAACCACTCAAGCTCTCTGAGCCTCAGTTTCCCCATCTGTCAAGTGGACTTGTGATGGGCTCTCCCTCACAGGCTCATTGTAGACTAAAGAGAGCCACTGAGAACTAAATGACACAGGCGTGAAGCTCCGAACACCACAGTAGGTCCTGCTTCAGACAGCTGCAGGTCTCCAGAGCAAGTGTCTTAGACTCTTCCTGTGCACACCCCCTCTTCCAGGCAGGCCTCAGGGTGGAGGCAGTCTGCTGAGGAATGGGGGGAAGGCTCCACTCCAGGTTTGGTGATCTAGGCAAGTCCCCCCACTCCTGCCCCAGGGCACAGAGGAGGGAAGGAGAAGAAACGGGGTGGCTGGAAGAGGAGACACAGAGCTCAGAGGAGGAGGGGCTGTGGGGAACATTCAGGCCTCTCTCCCTTGCACAAATGAGATGACTGAGGCCCAGAGAGGGGTAGTAGCCTGCCCAGGATCACAAAGCAAGTCAGGAGTAAAGCCAGGACCAGATCTCCACCCAGAGCCCTCTCCCCACCTCCGCTGCACCTGGTGACATCCATCCGGCATCCCCAGAGCGAGCTCGGAATCCCTTGGCCCAGGACAGCACCTGCCATGGAGAGGTTACCTTGAACCACACTCCTGACAGCGAAGTCCATGGTGTAGCTGACCAGGGCCATGAGCATGCCGAGGGCCATCAGGAAGTACCAGTCCTCGCCCAGGCGGAACAGCTTCTGCTTCAGCCACTCCAGGCCTCCTGGGGCAGGGCATAGGGGTCATGGCCCAGGGTGGGACAGGGTACACAGACAGTCTCTTCCTTGGAGGACTGCTGGGCTCCAGGCAGGGAGACGGGCAGGATGGGTGGAGCTTGGTGGTGGAGTCTGGGGTAGTCCTGAGGGGGCCCTGCCTCACACTGGGGGCTGGGTGAGATTTGTGGTGGGTGACAATCATGACACACTGGGTGCCAGGACTCCTGCCCTGCCAAAAAGCCTTTGACCTGTCCACCCTCTACATCCCTGCTTCTACTGGGACTCCTGGGGAGCAGGGAGTGTGGAGGGGGCTGGCAGCTACGCTTTCACCCGAATCCCCGCAGGGTCTGTAGCTTAGAGAGCTCCAGGGTCTAGCAGACTCCTGCATGTCCCAGGACCTGCGGCGTCAGGTATCCTCTGGATCCCCAGCAATGCCCCTGGCCCGCTGGCTGCCAGCCCAGCCTGGGAGCTGGCCGTCACTGACTGTGGGCACCAGCCCCTGGGGCTGCACTTAGCTTCCTTCTGGGGTCCCTGCCTGCTCTGCCCCATAGCTGAGGGGCTCTAAGCAAAGGGGCCAAGTGCAGGCTGCCCCACCCCCTTGCTGTACCCCAGCTGTCCCAGCAGCTGACCCTCGGGGCCCCTCATTGGCACAGGTAGGTGAAAGAGAGGCCTGGGAGGAGGGTGGGCACAGTGACCAGACCTTGGGCTGTATCTCAAAAGGCAGAGGGCAGATGCCCGGCCCATCTGACCCACAGACAGCTGAACAGACAGACCCCTTCCCTCCCTACACCCAGGAGACTCTGGGCCGTGATGTCCTGGACAAATGCCAGGAGGAGGGTGGCTCCTGGGCAGGGAGGTGGGGTGGGAGCTGGGCAGGGGGATGTCCTGAGGGGTCTGCCACGGGGAGAGGAAGGGGACCTGGCTCTCACCTCGGATGCCTTGGCGGATGCGGGGACATGGGCCCCACAGCTCCTGCAGAGTCACAGGATCCCCTGAGGAGCCCTCACGCAGCCCCACCAGCTCCTCCATCAGGTCTCTGGGGAAGCAGATAGAGGCAGGGACCCGGGTGAGCCGCTCTGGATAGAGGGAGGGACATGGGTGAGCTGCCCCACATCCTCTTGCTGCCTCTCAGCCCTTCCGGGGCTCTCTCTCCCAAATGAAGAGGAAGGATTCTGCTTTTGCGGGGGTGTGTGTGTGTGTGTGTGTGTGATCACACTAGGTCTGTGTGTGCCCTCATCCCTGAGGTTCTGTCACTGAGGGTGTGCCCGTGTGTGTCATTGTGTGGGATGGGGGTGGAATTTCTAGGTGTCCCCCGTGTCCAGCAGCTGACCGGGCACAGGCTGGAGCCCAAGCCCTGCTCAGAGCCTTCCCCTTCTGTGGCCACCGCTCCCACCCTTCTGGATCACTTGGTGCTTCCACTGCTGGGAGCAGTCTCTGGCCAGGGCTGTGACTCTCTCACTGCAGAGTCCCAGGGATGGCTCTGACTCTCCCTGTCCATCTCGGAGCACCCTCTTCTCTCCCCAGTAGCTCAGGCCACAAAGGCAGGAAAGCCCCAGGTCCAGAAGGAGACCTCTGCAGAGCCAAAGTGAGATACTGGCTCCTGCCCCTACCATCCCCTCTGCCCTGCCTGCCTGGTGCTGCCAAGTCCATACCCCAGTTCATGCCCAGAGTCCCCTTACCTCTCAGTCTTCCTGCTGTGGCCGAACTGGCCCTCCTGTCACAGAGCCTCCTTTGCTCCCAGCTGCAGCGCACCTAGACAGGTGTATGCTCTATGCTCCACTAATCATCATCCTCTCCCCCCCGACCTGGGGTTTACTGTGGAGATTTAAAATATCCTTGACAAACCAACCTGAACTGTGCAGCCGAGAGCCATGCAGGGCAGAGCTGCCAAGAGAGGGGGGCAGCAGCTTCCCCACCCACCAAAGCCACACAGAGGGTGGTGCCTGGCTGCACTCAGGCTCCCGGGGTATTGCTGGGTAGGGTCCGGGGAAGGGGAGCTCACGAACACAGCAGGACAGCGAGGGGTCATCTGCCTGAGCTGAGGCTCAAGGCCCAGGGAGCTCAGAGCTGGACATGGAAGGTTTGGAAAAGCACAGGGGGAGATGGAGGAGGCTGGGCAGGGAAGGTGAGGACAGGCCGGCAAAGGTGAGTGGGGCAGCATGACCGCATCCTCCCTATGTGCCAGGTACACAGCCTTCCCCAGATTAATCACCGTAAGTGACCACGGAAACCCCATGAGGCAGGCAGGGTGAGCCCGTTGTAAATAAATGGTGTCTCAGGGAGGCTAGGCTGCCTGCCCAAGATCACAGAGGCCGAGGCAGAGTCAGAACTCCCAGCCAGGGTTTGCCTGGCTCCAAAGCCTACAGGCTGTGCCGCACGGTCCCATCCTGATAACCCATCTTGTCCAGGGCTGGCGAGGAGGCCAACACCTGGGGCGAGGCGGTGAGTTGGGGTGAGGAACTTGAACTTGATCCTTGTGTCCAGACCCCCCAGGCTCAGGAAATGCCTGTCAAAGCACACGTCCAAGGGGCAGCAGCTCTGGCTGGGGACTTCTGGGTAATTCCACAGACTCTGTCCCGCTCCAACAGAGGACAGGAGCATAGGAGTGAGGGAACGTGGTGAGGAACAAGCAGGTGTTGTGTGCCTGCTACGTGCAGGAGCTTCACATCCGCAGCTCAAGTCCCCCTCCACACACCCTGTGAATGGGGGGAGCATTGCCATTTTGTAGATGTTCAGAGAGGTGAGTCACTCCTCCAGGGTCACACAGCAGAGGCTGAACCCAGCCCTCCACCATGCAGCTCTTCCTCTGCCCAAATCTCCTCTAGCTCCTGAGGCTCAACCAGGGCAACGGTTTGGGTACACAGCAGAAGAGTTGAGTCTGATGTCACTTTTGGGCAACAGGTTGGTCCTGTAATGATTGTTAAAATCTGGGACTCTGGGCTACCTTCTGTCCCTAGATGCCAGGCAAGTCAGACCAAAATAGAAGGTGTGTGTTGTGGGAGGTGGGACGGGGCTTGCTGCTCTGCGTGGTCCTGAGCCCACCTTCACCTTGGCCACCCTGACCTGTTGACTCTGCACAGCACCAGAACTGGCTGCCCTGTTGACATCCTGATCCCCAGTGTCTGGTCTGGGGCAGCTGCTGGCTACTGTCCCACAGCTGGCACTGCAAGTCCACATCCACCCTCACCCCCCAGCCCTGGAAGCCCCAGGAGGCTGAGGGAGGGCAGCCAGGCGGCTCAGCAGGATGAAAGCAGGTATGAAGCCAGCACAGCTCTGCTATGCCTAACTCCTTCATCAACTCGAACCTGTTTCCTCTTCTGTCTGATGAGTGAGCCTGGAGGCAGGGGCCTGTCTCTGCCTTATTCATCTGAGTCCTTCAGAGCCTAGAACAGTGCCCAGCACCTATTTATAGCAGGGTTTCAATAAATACCTGCTGAGTGATGAAGGCTTCATCACCGGCCCATGAGCTGGCTGTGTGGGGAGCTGATGGGAAGACATGGGAGGTACTTTCTCCAGATCCCAAATCAAAATCCTGGGGTCGGAGGAAAGGGTCCGTGTTTGGGAAAAGCTTCCCTGGGTAATTGGGATTCAAAGGACTGTATCATCTTTTTAGCTCCTTCTGTCCCTGTGATCTGAAGATAGAGGCAAGGGAATGGCCTTGATGACCTTTTGAGGTCCCTCCGGGCCAGTGAAGCCAGAGGATCCAGTATTTGTGTGGGCAATGCCTTGGGAAGCGGAATGGTGGGCGGGGGTGGGTAATGGGATCTGACATCCAGGGGCAGTGACTCAGGCCCTCAGCACCATGACAGTGTGTCTGCATTTAGCCACTGGCTCCTGTTTCCCTGGCGTCCGGCAGGCTCTGGGCCCCCCACCCCGCCCCACCCTCTCTCCATCTCACCTCAGTGCCGGTGGCTTCCCAGTGGCCCTAGAAACCCCTCAGCCAGGCTGGATGTCACAGGCTACCACATGGGCAGGAAGCTACCAGGGCAACAGGCACCAGCCTGGCCCCCACTGTGCCCTGTGCCCTGCTCTGCTTCCACTCCATGTACCTCAGCACCACTAACATCCCTGTAGACAGAGCCCTCTGGGATGAAGTGCCAGACTGGGCTGTAGGGGGCTCAGATAAAAGAGAAATGGTCCCTGTCTTCGGGAACCTTCCATCTAATGGGGAGACAGGTGAATCCTTGCCCCCGTGGGAACTGCCAGTTGGATAGGGAAGAAGGGACACAGCAGAGAGTCACAGCACACAGAAAGACCATGTCACACTGCCAGGTGCTGTGGGTGGACAAAGACAGTCAGTGTTGGGGGCATCAGGACCAAGTGTGGGGCTGTATGAGCAGGAGCAATCAGAGAGGCCTCTCTGGGGGAGGAGGGATTGGAGCTGATCTGGGATGGAAGGGCGGGATGTGGAGAGGACAGCAGAGGTCTCGAACTGCAACCTGGGCAGAGCAGAGGGCCTGGTTGCCTCTTACAATGGCCTCCACCCTGGCCCAGTGCAAGGTCAGTTCCAGCTCTGCTGAGCAAGCAGGTGGGTAGGGAGGGGCTTCACCGGCTCTTCTGGGCTGGCCTGTCTCCACAGGCATATGTTCAAAACCACCTCGGCCTCCGAATGGCTTTGGGTCCACATCTAGGTTTGAATCCCAACTCTGCTCCTTACGCAAGTGCAAGCCCCTCCCTTTCCAAGAGGCTTCATTTCCCCGTCCATAAAATGGGAAGAATGCCTCACCTCCATACTCCCAGCTTCGTGGAGATCAAGCTGCGTGGGCCACACTGGACAGCTTGTGGCCAGGAGCCTGTGCCCAGAAGTCACTCCAGAAGTCAGGGCTAGAATGATAGTCATTGGGAATTCTTTTACCTCTGACTGAAATCCCTAAAGCAGCCCCAGGGGTCCCCTCTGACACGGAGGTGGAGCAGACAGTTGCCAGGAACATAACCCTCTAGACCTTTAAGGAGGAAGCTGCTAGCTTTCTCCTCTTGGGGCCCCTAAATGCTCTGAGAGTCAGGGGGAGTACAGGCAGGGGATCCAGGTCCCCATGGGGGCTGGCAGGGGACAGCTGCACATTCTACTTCTCCTGCCAGGATTCAGCCTTCCTTAGACATAGGCTGCGAAGGTCGTCTGCCTTGAGGGAAGGAGCTCCTGACATCACACAGCCGTGGCGCTTCCACCTATCCTGTCCCCAAGGAGCCTACACTCTGATGGGGGAGAACGGCCGTGGAGGAAAACCAGAGTCTGAGGGGGGAGGCACAGTCCTTACAGACCCCCCAGGCTGATGGGGGGAAACAAAACACACAAGAAACCCCAAACCTGCAAGGTTCTGGGGCAGGCACCGAGGTCCGAGTGTCAAGGGGGCGGAACCCAGGCCTGTGTTTGGGAAAGGCGGTGTGGAGGCCCCTGGGGCTGCTGTGATCGGCCTGGAATGCCAGGCTGTGAGCTCAGCCTCTTGGCCTGCGTGTGTTGGGCTGTCAGCAAGCCGGCGCACGGGAGAAGGTTTCCAGCCCCCTCTGGGCCATGGAGAGGCCTAAATTTAGCTAGTAGACAAGGGGCTGGCCCCGAGCCCAGGGACAGTCGGCCTTATAAAGCGGCCACCATCAGGGCCCGGCACGCTCCCCCAGAGGCCTGTGCCCACACCCTCTCCTGTCCAGTCCCTGCCCGCCTGGACAGGGCCCGGCGCCGCCCGTGGATGAGCCACAGAACCTCTTCCACCTTCCGAGCGGAGAGAAGTTTCCATTCCTCCTCCTCTTCCTCCTCCTCTTCCACCTCCTCCTCGGCCTCCCGTGCCCTCCCGGCCCAGGACCCACCCATGGAGAAGGCCCTGAGCATGTTTTCCGATGACTTTGGCAGCTTCATGCGTCCCCACTCGGAGCCCCTGGCCTTCCCAGGCAAGTGCTCACGGCTCTGAGGGGAGGGGAGGTGCAGAGGGAGGTGACGTCCACTCCAGGGCGCCACCGAATGCACTGTGGCTGCCGGGCTGCCTGGAACAGGTGCCACACAGCCCGCAGCCATGTGTGGCTGCCAAGACAGAGGTGGCCACAGGGACAGATGTGGCCATGAAAACAGGTGGGCCTCTAAGGAACAGTGGTGGCCCTGGGGATCAGACATGGTTCCGTGGCCACCACGGTCTGTAAATGCAGCCAATCTCAGCTGGAGCCCTGGAGGTGTGGATGGGGTGAGGGGTGGGAGGCAGCCCCAGGTTCCAGGCCCCGGGTGAGGTGTTACAGACCTAGAGTCACATATAAACACACCACACCTGTGGGTGAGGCCCCATCCCCACCCCAGAAAAGGTGAGCTGCAAGAAGGAGGAGGAGCTTAAGGAGAAACACCTGGGGGATGGGTAGGGCCTGGGGAGCCACCCATTGCCCTAAGAGAAGGAGCCAGAACCCTGGGGTCAGCACGCCAAGCCTGCTCCATGCCTCGCTCACAATAGCCCATCCCACAGCCTGCCCTGCAGGACCAGGCAACATCAAGACCCTCGGAGACGCCTATGAGTTTGCAGTGGACGTGAGGGACTTCTCACCTGAAGACATCATCGTCACCACCTCCAACAACCACATTGAGGTGCGGGCTGAGAAGGTGAGCCCCCCAACCCCACCCACTGCACCCCAAACTCTGCTCTTGCCTCCAACGTCTCCTACTCCCCCTTCCCGTCCTGGGACCCCAGACCCTGGCCAGTGTCCCTTCCCCATGCCCCCCCAGGGCTAGCTGAAGGCCTTGCCCCTGTAGCCCATGGCTATGAGGATCCTCACTGCCTCTCTTTGCATCGAGGTTCCCAGATCCTTTCTTCCAGGGCCCTGGGCAGCTGAGGGAGCCTACGGGGAATGGGAGAGGGATGGAGGGATGTGGGCAGAGGGAGCCTGAGGGGGTGGGAGTTTGAGGGAGGGAGATGCGGAGCGAGAGATGGTGATGGCAGTGTGAAGACAGCTCCTCTGGCAGCCATAGAGGGTGGATGCGGGTAGGCGGGGAACTCACCTGGGCAGCCGGGGGAGGAGTTTCTCCACGTGACACACCTCAAGCCCTCTTCCATTCCACAGCCAGAGACCCATCCCCCATCTTGGAACCCCCAAATTAGGCCCGAGGTTGGCCAGCTTAGGGTGTCCAGTCCACCTGGGGTCTGGGGGTATAGGGGCTGGAACCTGGGCTGAGATGCCTGCATTCCCCAGGCACCCCAGATTCTGAGCCACTGCCACGGAGCCGCTTTTCCTTCCAAGCCCCACCCCCTCCCCATGCCCCATGCTGCCCTTCGGAGCTGCTGGAGCTCCTCGAAGCACCCTGCCCTGTCCCTGCAAAGCCCTCGGCCTATGGCCATCACCACCGTGCAGTTTAGGGTCACACACACTCTAAACCACACACACCCTCTGCCCTCGGGTCTCAGGGTCACGGGTCTCTTGAGTGTCTGAGTCTGAACTTCTAGGAGGCATTGGGGCCTCCGTCCTGGAGAGGGTGTGGCCAGGCCTGAACAGGGGCGCCACCTGGGACAGCCGGGGCTGCCAGGAGAGAAGAGAGGACCTGCCCAAGGCCTCCTCCTAAGCTCCAATGGGCTGGCTTCCTCCCTTCCGTATTCAAGGATGGACTCCTGAGCATCCCTGCCAGGGATGCCAAAGACTGGGGACACCAGGACCTGAGGGCAGCACGTGCCAGCCCTGCCACCTGCAACAGTGACTCAGCTGCCCCAAACTCCCCTGGACACTATGTGCTGGCTGAGTTGTGGGGGAGAGGCAGGCGCTCAGCCCTAGCGGACAGATGCCCAATGAGTCCAGGGATCCAGGAGGGCGCGGCTCTCCTCTGTCATCCCTGCATTCCCCAGGAGCCCCAGATTCAGAGCTACTGCCACAGAGCCGCCTCTCTCTCCAAGTCCCACCCCTCCCCATGCCCCTTGCCAGTCCCTTGGAGCTACTGGAGCTCTGCGACACACCCCTGGGCTGTCCCTGAATAGCCCTGGGCCTGAGGCCATCACCACCCTGGGCAGACCCTCCACACCTGAGGGCAGAGCTCCTCAGCATATGGGGCCTGGCTCAGGTTAGAATGGGGAGAAGAGGGCTATGGCTTGTCACAAGCAGGACAGGGGCAGGGGCAGCCTGCCTGACGGTCACCCCTTTCCCAGCTGGCAGCTGACGGCACGGTCATGAACACCTTCGCTCACAAGTGCCAGCTGCCGGAGGATGTGGACCCCACATCGGTGACCTCGGCTCTCCGAGAGGACGGCAGCCTCACCATCCGGGCACGGCGCCACCCGCATACAGAGCACGTCCAGCAGACCTTCCGGACAGAGATCAAAATCTGAGGGCCTCTCCTTTCCCTTGCCCTGCCCCCCCACCCCCACGTCTGCCAGCAAAGCCTTCCTAACCCCATTTCAACAGCTCCAGACCATCTCAGCCCAGGTTCCAGCCCCTATGCTCCCCAGGCCCCAGGTGGACCATCCTCCCGTACTAGGGCCCTCCACTCTATCCAGAGCAGGCCAGGGGAGTCCCTGGCCTGAGGCATGGTGCCCAGATTTCAAATATGGCTTCCCTCACTTAATCCAGAGTAGAGGGGCTGGGGTAGGGGAAGGAATATCTAAAGAAGCTGCTGTGGGTCAGGGGATTGGGACCAGCAGGACATCTGGGCAAGCTCTGCAGGACAGACAGACAGACAGACAAACACTCTGATCTATGAAGTCTCTGCAGGGCAAGGGGAGCAGGGACCTGGAATCCCCTTGGCCAAGGGGAGCAGGAGAGACAGAGGGAAGGTCACAGGCAGGGGTGTCTATCTAAGTGGAACTAACTGCCTGAGGGCTCAGCAAGGCCAAGAGGAGACAGCCGTGACGGTAAACTTCCCCTCTGCCAGCCTCCAACCCTCACGCCAGTGAGCAGGCTGCCTGCCCGCCCTGTGCCCCCAGCCAGCTGGCTGTGCCAGAGCAGAGCCACGCCACATCTGTATATAGATGGGGTTTTTCCAATACACCTGATTCGTGATAAACTGCATGAAACTCCTGCAGTCCCATGCCTGCTGGGGCCTTCAGCAAGGT